TCCGGGGGAATGGCGTAGCCCCCCTGCCCTGAGCAGCACGTGGCCTAGCCTGCCGCGGGCTGAATAATGCATGGCTCCATCCCGCGCCAGCCGCCAGCGCATCAATAATTCAGCACCGCCAGCGCTCTCGGGCACGCGGCACGGCGGCGCTCCCCCGCAGCAGCATGCGTGCCGGCCGGGGGGGGCCTGTCCCCTCCGTGCTGCAGCTGCAGCAGGGCCTAGGCATGCTCCTGTAGCCAACTCCGACCTGTTCGGGGTTGTGGGGCTGGGAGCGGGTGCACCAGGGATCATGGGATGCTCCCCACCCCAGGGTGGGGGGTACAGCTGGGGGGTGGGCGTCTTCCAGACCGGAGGGGCTGAGTCAGGGGGCTGCCATTGCTGGGAAGGGGGGAAACCTCCCCAGGGAGCTAGGCCGGTCACCTGGCAGGTGCTGCATGGAGCAAAGCAGCTGCAGGAGGGCTTGCAGAGCTGGGACCCCCGGGGCAGGGAGCAGAGCCCAGGGGCTGCCGGCAGGTCCCAGGAGTCGAGCCCAGATCCCAGCCACCTGCCTGGGAGAGGCCACCCCAACCCCAGCTTTGCAGCTCTTTGGGGGGCCTATATGGACTCCAGCCTCTGTCTGTCTGTCCTGGGGGCTGAGCATGGGACCCCGCTGAGGCCAGGGCTCTGCTCGGAGGCTGTGAGAGCCACGTGGCTCCTGATGCCACGACTAGGAGAGGGACACCGGTGCTTCCGTCTTGTGTGCTGCCTGACTGCACGTGTCTCCATGCCTGGTGCCTTGTGTGTCCTCACGTGTGCGCCGCCACCCTGAGCTCACCGGCCCGTCTGCATGACTGAGCTGGGCCTGGGTTTGGGTCACCCCCTACCCGGGCTGCAGGCAGTGGCAGTGGCAGGGGGGGGGGGGGTGGGAGCCGGCGGGAAGCCTGGAGCAGGCGCCGGCTGTGTCGTGCTGTGGACCGAGTCGGCTCTGGAGCAACAGGCTGGAAAACGCCGCGGGGGCAGCCCCGTGTGTCCTGAGCTGTGCAAAGGCACAGGGGGCCATGGCCCTTGAAGGGGAGTCCTGTCTCTTGCAGCAGGGCTCCCTGCCCACCCCTTCCAGCCCAGTCAGCAGCCTTGCGGGCAATGCTCGGCATCAGGCATCCAGCTGCCGGCGGCGTGGATGGTTCCTCCGGCACGTGGCTGGGACGTGGCCGCCTGGAGAGGAGCTGGGAGCCTGAATCCAGGCCCATGCAGCGCTTGGTACCAACTGGGCCGTACCCTGGGATCTCTGCTTGCAGCCGGCACCGCGCGGGCCACGACCTTCCGGCACATGGAGCCGGCTGAAATGGCTCTGCCCTGAACCCGGTGCCTCGAGGGCCCCGGTCACCCCCCGGCTCATGGCACCTCCGCTTGCCTTGCAGCAGCTCCCCCCGTGCCGCGAGCCTGCCGCAGACCGTGCATCCTGCTCGCAGCCGAGGAGCCGGGGCTGCAGCCTGGTAGCTCGTAGCCGAGCCGCCTGGCCATGTCCGGCCAGCGCGGCGCCTGCCTCTGGAAGCCCACGCCCGGCCCCGGCTGGTCGGTCCAGTGGCTCTCGGAGGCAGAGATGCAGGAGCAGCAGGAAAGGTAGGCCGCCCGGGGGCAGGGACCTAGAGCAAGGAAGAGGAAGGAAGTTTTCGGCGCTCCCCAAGCCCCGTGGGAGCCGGGCCTGGGATGCATCTGAGCCTTCGGCATCTTGCAGCCCAGCACGGCATGGGGCCAGACGTCACGGGATCCTGCAGCATGGCCTGGCCTCCTGTGGAGCTCTGCTGGGCTGGGTGCCAGTACCGGGACCCTGCCTGGGTGTGTGGGGCAGGTCCCTGTGGCCACGGGGTCAAAGGGCACGTCTGGAAGGGGAGCTGGGTGCAAGGTCTGGGTCCTGGGTCAGCCTGCCTCGAGGCGTCCTGGTTCTTGGTGCTGTGCCCACATGGCAGGGAGGAGGTCTTGCTCGGGGAGCCAGGCAGGGATGGGGAGGGGGCTGTGCTTTGTAGCCCCACGGGACAGAGATAGCGTCTTCCCCCCCGCATCGTGTGGCCCCCTCTTGCCCCCACCAGGAGCACAGCCCCTGCATCTGCCCTGCCAGGGCAGGACGGTGCTGCCCAGCCTGGCATGGCGCAGGGGGCCTGGGTCAGGCCGCGGGCACTGGCTCGTTTGGGGTGAGAGCAGCTGGGGCCACATTTGCACCGCGGGGCACCGGGAGGGGTTGTACAGGGTGGGGGAGTTTGGAGGTCATCCGAGTCGCAGGGGCCAACAGGTGTGGGTGGGGGAGCTGTGTGGCAGGGCCAGGGCACGGGGCCAACTGCCCGGGCATGGGGCAGGGGCCACATCCTAGGATGAGCCCTGTGCACATCTGGCCAGCACCTCCTGGACTTGCCCCCTTCTGTGTGGGGTGTGTCTCCCCCTGCTCCCTTCTGCGGGGCACCCCTTCCCCCGCGCTCACCCCAGCCCTCAATGCCAGCGCAAGGCTGATGGGGCCTTTCCTGATCCAGCCTAGCAGAGGGGCACCGGGCAGGCGCATCCCCTGTGGCAGCCTCCCCGAGAGCCCGGCCACCCCATTGCCCCTGCCCGGCCACTGGGTCTGGGGCCGGTGCCCAGGAGCAGGGTGTGATGGACTAGGGGCTGGGGCACCGGGGTCCCATCCAGCTCTGGGCGCTGGTCTGGGATGCTGGGGTCCAGGCAGGGTCAAGGGAGGCTGGGGCGTGGGGCCCGGGCTCTGATGCGTGTCTCTTTGCCCAGCAGAGCCATGCTGGCCAACGCGGCCACGATGCGGATCTTGGTCCGGGGGGGCAAGGTGGTGAATGACGACTGCACGCTGGAGGCGGACGTGTACATCGAGAACGGCGTCATTCAGCAGGTGGGCCGCGAGCTCATGATCCCCGGCGGCGCCAAGGTCATCGACGCCACGGGCAAGCTGGTCCTGCCCGGTGGCATCGACACCAGCACCCACTTCCACCAGACCTTCATGAACGCCACCTGTGTGGACGACTTCTACCACGGCACCAAGGTACCACCGCCCTGCCATGGGGGGCCCGGCTGGAGCCTGCCCGGCTTCGACCTGCTTCTGCCACTGCCCCTCCCCTTGTCAGGGTGCTCTGGGGGTGTCTGGGCAGCTGGGCCCTGCTTCCCCATAGAGAATCCCAGAGCCGTGGGGCTGGCAGGACCCTGTGGGGGCTGCCTGGAGAGGAAAGCGTAGCTGACTTGGCCCCCAGGCACTCGCAGGCAGCCCAGGTCCTAGCACTGCCCCACGGAGAGGCATGGGATTGACTGAGGGGCTGGGGGAGCCTTGAGGGGCATCCTCAGGCTCCGGGCGCTGCCCAGTGCCTGGCCAGCTCTGCTCCCCCTGCCAGGGGCAGGACGCCCATCCTGGCTGCAAGCCTTGTCCCACCCTTGGGCCACACAGGGGCCTGGCACCTGCCCCCCAGCACCGGGGCTGCAGAGGAGGCTGGGGGTGGAGATCCCCTTCCTTGTTCTGGCTGACCCGCTGCTTCTCTGGGACGTGGCTGCAACCTACGGCCCCAGCCCCACTAGGCCGCAGGCTCTTGGGCAAGGAGCCCCCAAGTTCATCCAACCTCCTGGAGCCTGGTGCGTGCGGTGCTTGGCCGTGGCACGCCATCTTGGGGCCACGTGCCAGCCGTGGCCTTGCTGTGCCCAGTGCCGTCAGGCTGCAGCCAGGTCCTGGCCCAGCTCTGGGCTCCATGTCGGGGCGCAGGAACAGGAGCGGGTCCCAGGCAGGTGACAGGATGCCACCGGGCACAGACAGGCAGAGGCTTGGAGACCAGTCGACTGGGGTGCAGGGGACCCTGAGCGGCTTGGGGCTGGACGTGGGGCAGGGCTGAAGTGGTCGTAAGGCGAGGGCCTAGAGGGGGTCTGCATCCTGGGGGCTCACGGCAGGGCCCAGGCAGTTGCCTGGAATGCACACGCAACACCACGCGTGCACACGAGCCCCACAGGACTTGGCTTTGCACAGGCAGCACAGCTGTGAATGCCCCGGCCTGACGCCAGGGCCCCTGAGGCAGGGGCATCACATCGGTGGGGGAGCTTGTTCCCCTGGGCCCAGATCCACTGCAGCTGGCCCCTGGCACCGGGCGGGAGGGCACAAACCCCCGCTCGCCTGTGCCTGGTGCCTCCAGCAGTGCCGGGAGCTCTCCCCACACAGCACCTATTGTCCCAGCAGCCCCGGGCTCCTCCTTGCTGCGCCGCGTGTGCTGGGGGCGCGGGGCTGGTGCCGAGAGGCCTGGTCCCAGCCTGCTTCGTGAATGAGCCCTGCCCTGAGCCGGGAGCTGGGCCCCAGCCGTGCAGGGAGAGGCAGCCCTGTGCCCCCAGCAAGGCAGGGCACGAGCAGCTCATCTCCCTTCTGCTCCTCGGCACTGCTGTCTGGGAGCTGGCCAGCCCTTTACAGCTTGGCCGTTGACTCTGAAACCTAAAGATGGCAGGTCACATGTCAGCATTCACTACTTGCCAGTCACTCCCAAGCTGATTCTCCCTTGTTGAGCTGCCTCCATGAGTGTCCGCAGCCTTTGCCCTGTCTGGGCACGGCCCCCCAGCCCTGTTCCAGCCCTGCACTGCACCCCCCGGTGCCCTGGCGGCCTCTCTGGAGCTGTCACTTCGCCCCCAGAGCCCCCAGCCCTGCTGTGAACGGGGAGATGCCCACCTTGCTGCTGGGGTTGGGCAGGGCAGGCTGTGGGGTGCGTGGTGTCCGGTGAGTGGCTGGCCCCAGGGCTGCTGGCTGCTCCATGCTGAGGCAGGGGGCATCCCCATGTGATGCTGGTGTCTCCATCCACAGGCTGCCCTGGTTGGGGGCACGACCATGATCATCGGGCACGTGCTGCCGGACAAGGAGATGTCGCTGGTGGATGCCTACGAAAAGTGCCGGAGCCTGGCTGACCCCAAGGTTTGCTGTGACTACGCCCTGCACGTTGGTATCACCTGGTGGGCGCCCAAGGTGAGCGCTGCTACGACCACGCCGGGGCTTGGATGGGCCCAGCATGGGGTGTCCTCGTGCCAGGGAAGCTTCTCCTTGCCCCCCAGGCCGAGGGCTCCATGCTGCTCTGTGCTTGGCCCAGTCCTGGGGGTGCAGAGCATCCTTTATGCCGGGGCACTGGCCGAGGGGGAGCAGACACCAGCCAGGACTGGGGCAGGCCACACTGAGACGAGCCGCACGGCGCTGTCCTCCGGCAGGTGAAGGCAGAGATGGAGACGCTGGTGCGGGAGAAGGGGGTGAACTCGTTCCAGATGTTCATGACCTACAAGGACCTCTACATGCTGCGGGACTGCGAGCTTTACCAGGTCTTCCGCGCCTGCCGTGACGTGGGCGCCGTCGCACGTGTCCACGCTGAGAACGGAGAGCTGGTGGCAGAGGTGAGCCTCAACTCCCCCTCCTGGCCTGTGCCACGGTCAACGTGGGGGGCCACAGGGGTGCTTAGGGGACAGTCCTGCCTGCCCAGCCTCATGCTAACGCAGGGATCCAGGGCCCCTCCGCACCCTGTGGGGCTGGGCGAGTGCAGACGAGGCTAGGCCCAGGCTGGGGGGGGGGCAAAGGACTGACCCCAGCCCCTGCTGTGACGTTTTCTCCCCTTTCCAGGGTGCAAAGGAGGCGCTGGACCTGGGCATCACAGGGCCAGAGGGCATCGAGATCAGCCGGCCAGAGGAGGTATGGTGAAGTCCAGCCGCAGGCTCACACATACCAGGGCCCAACTGGGACCTTGCCGGGGTGGGGACGGCTGGACCCCTTCTGCCCCTGCCCCCCCAGCCCAGCAAGTTGCTGCTGCAGGGCACAGACTTGGGTAGGGGAACCTGAAGGCAGCTGCGTGTGTGGGGCGGGAGAGGGTCTGAGTGCCCGGCAGCAGCAAGCCCATGCCAGGTTGAGCTGAGCCAGGCCACGCCATGCTGGGCCACCATCCTCCACCGCTCCAGGGACCCCACATCCTCACAGAGCCACGGCTGGGTCTGTCCCAGGCTGCAGAGATGCCTGTGTGCCCCGTGGCTCAGCTCGGTCCCCACAGCACCCCCAGCCCCAGGGCACATGCCCTGCTTCCCCCCTCCACCCCTGGCTGTGTCTGTGCCAGGGGCAGGCACCTCCCCTGGAGCCCTGAGGCCCCCCACTTTCCACCAATGCCCCCAGCAGCACGTGCCCCGCTCTGGTGCTGCCCTGGGGGGTATCTGTCCAGAAGGGCCTGTCTGTTAGTCCCACTGCCAGGCCCTGGCTGCAGCAGCTGTGCCGTGCTCTGGGGCTGTGTGGACAGCCAGGACCTCAGCCCCTTGCCCCCCAGGACCCCAGGGGGGTAGGGACCAGCAGGTGCCACGGGGTCACAGCGTTCTCTCTCCGCAGCTGGAAGCTGAGGCCACGCACCGTGTGATCACCATCGCCAACAGGGTGAGTCTCTGCCACACCCGCCCTGGGTCCCGTGGGCCCTCTGCCCCTGCCCGGGCCTCCTGGACTCTCATTCCAGCTGTTTGGCCGCTCCCAGACACCTGGGTTCCCCATCCAAACATACCCCAGCTCCTGCTGCCCACGCTTCCCCTGCCCGTGGGGTGCAGCACCCCCGCTGCATAGCCAGAGGCTCAAGCCCCAGTTGTGTGTGTGGGAGGAAGGATTCCCCATCCCAGACTCCGATGCTGTGGGCAGCGGGGCAGGAGGAGCAGATTGTGGGCCAGTCCCAGGCCACCTGGTTCATCCTGCGCCCCAGCTGTGGGGGGAGCTGGGCACGGGCTGGTCCGTGGGGGAGCGGATGCAGTGCTGGGGCTGCAGGGAGGGGCAAGAGGGAGGCCGCCGTGCGGAGTGAGCGGGTGGTGCCGTCCCCCCAGGCTGGGGGCTTCCCTGTACCAGCCTCCTGGGCCCCCAGGGGGCTGGGGGCAGGCAGGTCTCGGGGGAGCACATGCTGGGAATGGAGGTCAGACACCGTGTGTGTGTGCGTGCAGGTCTGTCTGCATGTGTGCACGTGTCTGTGCATGTGTGTGTGCATGTCCATCTGCGTGGGCACACACAGGTATGTCTGCACGTGTGAGTGCCTCTGTTGCATGCATTTGGGTGCATATGCACTTCTGTGTGTGCACGTGCATGTGTGAGCACATCTGTGTCTGCGTGTGAGCTCCTGCCCTGGCGGAGAACAGCCCTGCTCCGGGGGTGGGGGGATGGGACGGGGCAGCTGGGCCGTGGCCTGGGGGAACAGAGGTGGGTGCTGGGCCAGGAGCCCTGTGGTCAGCACGGCACTGACCCCACCTGTCTCCCTGCAGACCCACTGCCCCGTGTACCTGGTCAACGTGTCCAGCATGTCGGCCGGGGACGTCGTGGCGGCTGCCAAGATGCAAGGTGAGGCTGCGTGGCCGAGGCACAGACGCCCCCGCCCCAGCAAGGCCACGGCCCAGCCCTGGAACCCCGCCGGGCTGGACAGCACAGGCTGCAGTGCCAGCATGCAGCGCTCCGCCTCCCCTGCACCTAGGGACCCCCATCCCCTCCTTGTGTGACAGCTCCTGAAGTACCCCAGCATCCAGGCCTCTCACACATGGCATAGAGCAGCTGCCCGCATCTGGAAACAGGCCTGGCCCTGCAGTACCCCAGGCTGGCCCCTTCCCCCACCACAGCCCAGGCGAGGGTCTGTGCCCCCAAAGTTCCCCTGCCCCCCACAGTGAGGACAGCCCCTCGGCCATCCCCTGCTGCTCAGCACCCCCCTCCCTGCCATGGCAAGCGACTCGGGGCCCCCCAGGGATGCCTGGGTTGAGCTGTGGGGTCTGGGTCCAGGCCCCTTGGTCACCTCAGCTCAGCCAGAGCTCCCAGAGCCACAGCAGGAGCCCCCAGTGCCCCCCACACACCCTTCAGGCGCATGCTGACCCCCCTGCCCCCCTCGGCCATGGCCAGCAAGGATGGAGGCTTGGCCAAGCCCTCGGACGGGCACCATGCATGTCCTGGGGGCAAGAGGCCCTGTCCCAGGGGAAGCCCCATGCCTCAGTTTCCCCATCCAGCAGGGGTGACACAGCTGCCCCAGCGAGCTGCGTTCAAGGGATCGGCCGAGTCAACCAGCCCCAGGCCGGCCAGCAGTGCAGCAGGAGCCAAACCCACCAGGGATGGGGATGGGGACGGGGACGCCCCAGCCCCGAGCAACCCCTCTCTCTCGCACTGGCAGGGAAGGTGGTGTATGCCGAGACCACCACAGCCCACGCCACGCTGACGGGCTTGCACTACTACCACCAGGACTGGTCCCATGCCGCGGCCTACGTCACCGTGCCTCCCCTGCGCCTGGACACCAACACCTCCAACTACCTCATGAGCCTGCTCGCCAAGTACGGGCACCGCCGGGGCCACGGGGGGTTCCCAGGGAGCCCTGGGCTCTGGCTCTGGACTGGGGCAGTTCCCAGAGGCTGTGAGTCCTAGAAACCCAGGGCCGTGGGGCTGGCAGGGAGCTGCAGGGTTGCATCCAGTCCAAGCCCTGCCTGAGGTAGGATCAGCCCCGTCCAAACCAGCCCAGACAAACCCCGTGTCCAGCCTCAGAGCCACATGAGAGTCACCCCTGACAGCCCCAGGCATCGCCCCTGCCCCCGGGATACAGGGGGACTGTGGCTGCCAACGTCCTGCAGAGACCCCAGGCCGAGGCCGTACCCCCGCTGCAGAGGAAGGCAAAAACCCCCCAGTGCAGACCAGTCTGATCAGGGGCAAGGCCCTTCCTGCCCCAGTGCAGCGTGGGGCTGAGCCTGAGCGCAGGGGCAAGACCCTCCACCAGGACCCTGCAGGGTTGGTGCCAGCAGGAGCATTGCAGCCAGCACCTCTGGGGGAGACTTAAAACCCCCTGACACATGGAGCAGCAGGAAGGGAAAAAAACTCCCTCCTGACCCATGCGGCAAGCAGAAATCCCCACAGCAGAGCACAGGCAGCGCTGCGCCTGGATTGTCTTGGCCGGGGCCACTGGCCCTCGGAAGCCCATGCCCGGCGGTGCCAGGATCCCTAGGCGAGGTGCTGCCCCTGCCCAGTGCAGGAAGACCCTGCTGTGCTCCCCCGTGAGTGACACCTGCTGCTTCTCCCCCAACAGCGACACCCTGAACATCGTGGCCTCGGACCACCGGCCGTTCACGACCAAGCAGAAGGCCATGGGCAAAGAGGACTTCACCAAGATCCCCCATGGCGTCAGCGGCGTCCAGGACCGCATGAGCATCATCTGGGAGCGCGGCGTGGTACATGGTGCTGGCTGGGGGGGAAAGAGGCACTGTTGCTGTGTCTGTGGGTCCAGAGCCCCCCAGGAGGCCACATGCTGGCTGGGCCAGGACCCCAGGCTCAGCTTAGCCCCCCTGGCTGTGGGTCCTGCCTTGTGTGTCGGCCTGTGGGGTGGACGGTGCTGCTAGCCACGTGTGGGCATTGGTGCCGCGGGCAGTGTCAGCAGCCCCGTTCCAGGTCCAGCTGCACATCCAGGAGGGGCAGCGGGGTGGGACGGGGACCGTGACCAAACAGGGTGGGGGCACCCATGTCTCACCCACTGCACCCACCTGCAGGTTGGGGGCAAGATGGATGAGAACCGCTTTGTGGCCGTGACCAGCTCCAACGCCGCCAAGATCCACAACCTGTACCCACGCAAGGGCCGCGTCATCCCCGGCGCCGACGCTGACATCGTTGTCTGGGACCCCGAGGCCACCAAGTATGTGCCCCCAATCGTGCCCCCATCTCTGAGCCCTTGGGCAGGTGGGGGGATCCACCTTGCGAGGCCCAGAGGCACCTGACCTAGCCATGGCCACGTGCCCAGTGCTGGCAGGTCTCCCCTGGGAGCTTGGGTCTGCCCACAGCCACCCTTAGCCAGTGCTGGCCTCACCGGCTACTTGTCCTCTGCCCCCCAGGACCATCTCAGCTAGCACCCAGGTGCAGGGAGGGGATGTGAACCTGTACGAGAACATGCGGTGCCACGGGGTGCCGCTGGTCACCATCAGCCGCGGGCGCGTGGTCTACGAGAACGGCGTCTTCATGTGCGCCGAGGGCACTGGCAAGTTCTGCCCCCTCCGCTCCTTCCCAGATGCTGTCTACAAGAAGCTCGTGCAGCGGGAGAAGGTAGGAGCAGGTGGCAGGGCACAGCAGTGTCATGCATGGCATGTCAGGGTCAGGCGTGGTATGATAGGGCATGACGTGACATGGTGCGGCTTTCTCCGCTCCCTGCACTCCCGTGGCAGCCCCTTCACTTCTGCAGGCCTGGCCCATGGCCACGTCACCCAGGATCTCTGTGCCGGCAGGAGAGGCTGGGGGCATGGAGGGGCTGCCATGGCTCACCCGCCTCCCTCCCTGCATGGCCGTGTGGCCTTGGGCTTGTGCTGGGTGATGGCAGAGACCCACGTGGGGCAGAGCTTCCTGCTCCGGCGCCCAGCTCTGGGTCGGGGACTTGAACCCAGGTCCTCGACCATGTGGTCAAACAGCCACGCTCCCCCATGTCCCCCAGAGTCCACAGGACACTGTGGCTGATGCCTCTGGGGCTGACCAGAGTGGGCAGGTAGGGAGGGAGCTGGGGGGCTCCAGACCACTGCATCTCCTTGGTGCAGTGCGGGGAGCCTTGAGCCGCCGTGACAGGGTAAGGGGATGAGTGGCTGGCATGGGCCAAGGACCGTGGGCTGGACGTGGCCGTGAGTGGGATGGGAGGTGGGGTCAGGGCAGGGAGGCCCCCCCCTTCCCCCCAGGCTCCGACGGCCCCTCCGGTGCTGGCTCTGGGACCTTGGTCCCTGGTGCCTATCTCGGGGAGCAAGTTTGGGGGTCACAGGGACATTCCGTGGGTCACGTGCATCATAGGGGACACATGTCCCAGGCACAGCTGTGGGGGCGGGCGTGAAGTGGGCCCTGCCCCCACCCAGCTGGACTCTGGCACTGTGAATTGTACTGCGCCTGCTGCAACCCGCCGTGCACTGCATTGCACCCTGCGCTGCGTCTGTGCTTCAAACTGCACTGCGCCTTGCCCTGCACCATGCTGCAACCCGCTTTGCGCCATAATTGCTTTGTCGTTTGCTCCACTGCAGCCCCACTGCACCTTCCCAAGGCTCTGCCCTGCCCAGCAAACCGCCTTGCACAGGGCTCAAGCCCCACTGCCATGCAATGCACCTGGCACTGCGAGCTGCTCTGTGCCTGCTGCATACTGCCTTGTGCTGCACCCCCCAGGGTCTCCCCACGCTATGCCCTGCTCTGCAGTCTGCACCATTGCTCCCTGCCCCCCATGCTGTGTGGGGCTGGCAGAGCCCTGCTCCAGGGTTGGACCTTACCTGGGCAGGGGGAAGGAAGCTTCTCCATTGAGTGGCTTGGGACAGAGGGTCACAGTCTGGATGTTCTTCTCCCCTGCCCCCACTCCCCCCGCCGGGCTCTGGGTCCCTCCCCTGAGCGCTGGGGGCAGCGGGATGGGCCTGGCCTCCAGCCTGGCTGCAGGGTGCCCGGCGCTTGCTGGGGCCAGCAGCCCTCTCATGGGCAGCAGTGTCTCCAGCACAGTGCGACTGGGAGTGGGGGACCCTGCCCCTGCCTGGCATTGCAGCCCGACTGAGTTGCCCCCCACCCACCCTGCGCTGCGCATTGCACCTGCTGCAAACCACCCTGAACCGCACTGCAGCTGGCACTGCAAGTGGCTCTGTGTCCTGCACCTGCTGCAACCCGCCTTGCGCCCCGTACTGCACCCTCAGGGCCTCCTCCCCACACGCGCTACGCTGCTTTGCACTGTGCTGCGCCCTGCTACAGCCTGGCTGCAACCGCGCTGCACCTCCCCGCGCCCGCCTGGCACTGCAAACCCTCCTGCGCCGTCCTCCCCCTGCACCCTGCATTGCCCACTGCTGCACGCCACCCTGCACTGCCTGCCAGTGCTCCCCCTGGCCCAGTGCCCAGGGCAGGAGCAGCTCCATTCTTGACCCCACCCCAAGGCTGGGGATGGGGCCGGACTGGGCCAATGCTCCTCCTGGCACCAACCCTGCAGGGTCCTGGTGGAGGGTCTTGCCCCTGCGCTCAGGCTCAGCCCCACGCTGCACTGGGGGCAGGAAGGGATTTCCCCCCCTGCTCAGACTGGTGTGGACTGTGGGGGTTTGCCTTCCCCTGCAGTGCGGGGCAGAGCCTGGCCTGGGCTCTCTGCAGCATCCAGGACCCCCCCGGCAGCAGGAGGACATTGGTGGCCGCAGCCCCCCTGTACCTGGGGCTGTCAGGGGTGACTGTGTTGTGTGGCTCCAAAGTCAGACACCGGGTTTGTCTGGGCTGGTTTGGACGGGGCTGATCCTGTCTCAGGCAGGGCTTGGACTAGACGTGATCTCTGGGATCCTGTGATCCTGGGTCAGAGCTGGGGGGACACTCAGCACTGGCTGGTGGCCCCGGGGCCCAGGCTGGTCCTGGCCGTGTGGAGACCTGTGTGCGGCATTGCTCCCTGCCCCAGGGATACGTGAGGGTAGCCCCATCCCAGCGGGATCCCATCACAGCATCCCACTGGGCACCTGACCCTGTCCCCCGTGGTGGGGTGTCCCTGGGGCATGGGGGTTGTGGTCTGGACATCCCCCTCTCACTCCCCCAGGGCTCTCCTGCAAACACTGGGGGATGTCGGGGGACAGGCCTGGCCGCGATGTGGCTGCAGGGTCCCCCGCACCAGCGGGGGCCCGTGTGCAGCAGTTGGGGGCGGCAAGCATGGAGAATGCCCCTGCCCATCTGTGCAGCCCCTCTGCGCCGTCCATTTCCCTGCCCCCCATGAGCTGCACTGCGCCTGCACTGCAATCGGCACGACCCCGCTGCACTGCGCCCGGCTGCAGACTGCTGTGAGCGCCCTCAGCAGGGGTGCCCAGGGCGCCCATGGGGCAGAACCCAGGCATCCTGCCCCCCCACTCCCCCCAGATCAGGCCTCCTTTCCCCTGCCCCGTTGCCAGCCCCAGGCCAGGCCCGAGGAGACGGGGTGTAGGGCCCCGCTGCCCAGCCCCTGCCGGGCGCTGACGGCTCTCTCTGTTTCTCTTCCTTTATTAGAGTTTAAAGCTTAAGGGTGTGGACCGCACCCCATACCTGGGGGACGTGGCTGTGGTGATGCATGCTGGGAAAAAAGAGACGGGGACTCCCCTGGCAGACACCCCGACCCGGCCGGCCACGCGACACGGGGGCATGAGGGACCTCCACGAGTCCAGCTTCAGCCTGTCTGGTAAGAGCAGGGCCTGCAGCTGTGCCTGCCTGCAGCTCGGGCGCTGGGCCACGTGGCAGGCCACAGCACCCGCAGCCCCTGCGTGAGCCAGGGCAGGCTAGGCAGGCACCCCCACCCCCTGAGCTGGCCCCCCCGGCGCAGACTCGCTGCCCAGCCCTGTCCTGTGTGCCACCGTGCGGCTTCCTGGGGGAAACAGGCCCCTCTGTGCAGCAGTGAACCCAGGAGCTCTGGCTCCTGGCCTTCCCTGCGCTGCAGCTCAATAGGGCCGGAGCCAGGGCTTGGGGAGGGGGCTAAGGAGAGGGGGAGGCGCAGGAAGGGTTTGCGCGGGCAGGACCTGGGCTGGGATCGTTGGGCCAGCATGGCCCGTGGCTCCAGCGGGGGCTGCGGGTAGCTCTGAGTCTAACACAGGTGGCGCCTGGGGTGCGGGTTGCATGCGCTCGCTGGCACGATGGTAACCCCCCGGCTCGGGAGGGAAGGGGGTCTGGGCAGAGCCCACGCGGGGCTGAGCCTGGGCTGACGTGTGCTGGGAAGGGGCAGCCGGACCCGGCGGTGGCTCATCGGCAGCTCCGGGAGCCACGAGCGCCACGTCGCCCGTGCTGCAGGGCTAGTACCAGGCCGTAGGGATGGCCCAAGCATCTGGGCACTCCCTGCAGCCGCCAACACATCCCCGTCGGGGGGACGGTTTCTGTAGCCTCCGCCCTGGCTCCGTGCCGCCAGGGCCCTGCGCGTGGCCTGCCCGTGGCTGGGCCCAAGGTCAGCGTGGGGCAGAGCCAGCTCCAAGGACCCGTCTGCCCGTGGCCGCGATCCCCAGGGGAGGTGGGGGGCGCAGGCCGGGTGCTGCGCGGGGCCCGGCCTGGCTGCGCTGACCCGTGTCCCTCCCGTGTCTCCGCAGGTTCTCAGATCGATGACCACGTTCCAAAGCGAGCGTCGGCCCGGATTCTCGCTCCCCCCGGAGGCCGCTCGAGTGGCATTTGGTAACGCCGGTGACGCGTCTCCCGACTGAGCCGCGGCCCGGCCCCGCGCCCGCCCAATGTAAGGCCACGCACCAGCCACGGCTCC